AACATCGATAGTGAGTGAAATCTGAATCGCTCTTCGGCCCCCGAAATCACAAACGTGCACTGACTAGCACGGTGAAGTATATTCGGACTATGATCGTAACAGCGTGAGGAGGCCTTCATCCGTATGTATGTTGAACTTCTTTCGCACCGTACATAGCCAACTGGTGCTGATCCGAGTTCCAGCAGTAAACTAACAAAGGGGCTGATGAATAGTAAACTGTATCGTGCACAGCATCCAAATGGGACCGGAGTTATTGTCATAATTCCATAAGAATAATGCCCAGTTTAGCCGTGTCGTTATTTCGATTGAAACGTATAGTCTCGTTCATTAAAATCGGTGCAATGCCTCTACTTTCATTAAAACGCATAATTAGATCTTTAAAAGACGAAGGTGTGAAGGGACGGGTGGTGTCAGTGATCAGTGGGGTTAATGCGTTCAACAAACACCATGCCGATCCGCGCCGGGAGGGCCTGGGGGGGGCAGGGTGGGCGGGGGGTCGCCTGGGTGGGGCTGGGGGGCGGGGTGGGTGGGGGGTCGCCTGGGTGGGGGGGGGGCCTGGGGGGCGGGGTGGGTGGGGTGATGCTCATGGCTCTGTCGCTGCAGCTCCCTGTCCGACTCTTTCTCTCTCTCTCTGTCTTTCTCAGTGTCCACCACTCGCCCTGTCTGTCGCTGTGTCCAACTCTCTCGCTGGCTCACTCTTCCGCTGTCTCTATTCGCCAATACTCCTCCCTGTCTTTCTCCCAGTTCGACTCTTTCCCTGTCTCCATCTCCAAAACTCTCCCTCTCCGATTCTTTCCATGTCTCTCTCTCTCTCTTCCTGTCACTCTCCGTGTCCGACTCCCACTCTTTCTCTCTCTCTCTCCATCTCTCCCTGTTTGTCTTTTGCCACGTTTCCTCTTCTATCTCCACCCCTAATTATATATCTCTCTCTCCCCGTTTCTCTCGCTCTCTCTGTCTTCCGCCTCGTTCTGAATCTCCCACTGTCTCTCCCCGTGTCCGAATCTTTCCCTGTCTCTCTCCATTTGTGTCTCCGCAGCTGTCTGCATATTTGACGGCAACTGTCTTTGGCCCTGCGTCTGACGCTCCGTCTTTCTCCGTGTTGTCTTTGTGATTTGTATCTATATCTTCTGTGCCTTATTCGATAACAAACATCACGATGTGCAAGTGTTAGTCATGAGCAAGGCTGATGCACACAGAGGTGGCCTGACAGTTAACAGGTTCCGATGAGGCCGTCAGAGATCTGATAACTCGCACCCACCCACACTTCTCGGCATCTGTGTTTACCCTAAACAAATACAGTACATTGTATACACAGCCAATGGTTGTGTACACAGACAAATGGTTTCATTATTTTTGCTTGTGTTTCTGCCTGCAGGACACAGCGTAGAAATAATAAAAACATGGATAATGCATTAACTGTGGATGTGTTTGTAAAGAAACCTGATTCGAGGCACAACTCTGTCCAATATCAGTTGTGTTTCGTAGACCTTCAGTGAGAACTCTCGACAATTGGAACATGCTGCTACCCCACGTTACTTCCACCGCCGCTATCACTCGCTAGATTGTGCGAAAAACACCATTCGAGGATGTTAATTGATAATTTTGCAATGAAGGAAATCTCGAAAATTAATCTCCGGTGTTAATTTCTCGCACCTTTTGTATACCCACTGTGCATATCCTTGCTATGCTAATATATTTATTTTAAAAATATATATTGGTTTTAAAAAATGTATCACACAAACAAAAACACATGGTCCAATTTTGTTCGTAGGCCCTGGTGTGCTGTAGATGCCGGGTGGATTATTATGATTACATCACAGGATGGTGAGAGGTGGCGATGGCTTGGAGAGGGAGGGAGGACCTTCATCCATTCAGCAGTGGATTGATCATGGCCGATCACCGTGATGATGATGTATTAACTATCAGTTTTTCTTTTTGCAAAGCGAAGGAAAGTGGCTGGTTATGTTTCACTTGGTGACGTTGGATACCTCAATCAGGGGAGGAGGGTGGCGGGTCTCGGCAGGGTTGGGATTTGATTGACACTTGACACGAGGTCCGTGGGTGCTCCGAGGGGCGTCAACCCCAGTGGGCTGTCGAACGCCACAGCCCTCTGCACGGCGGTGGTAGGGGCGGTCAGCGAGCTGCACTATCAACCCGGCGACATCAAGTTCGATTCCCGCTCACGGTTAAGACCGGTGACGGTTATTCGAAACCGGTCCTGGGCCACCCCTAGGTCGACTCAGCCTCAAATGAGTACCTGGTGCAGTGTGTAAATATCGCCACTGGGGAGACAAAAACGGGCCGTGTGTGTTGCTGGCCACCCAGCCCCGATTGTGCCGGTTCTGGCCTTCATAGGTGCTCGCTAGCCGCACTTGCCCCAACAATCTGTGAAGGCTACACGGGGGATCTTTGTCTTGGGTGCTAGGCCAATAACGTGGGAGCTGACGGAGCACAGCATTTTTGTCTAGCTCCCCATGCAGGATGCGTTCTCGGGTTCTTGCCGCGCGTTGTTCGGCACGATGTCCGACGTTTCGCTCCACGTCCGGGGAGCTTCTTCAGGCACTGCATCTTAACAGCACGTGGAGCGAAATTGAAATCTTATGGGGGAAAAAACCCCGAACGCTATTGTGCACTGCGAGACGCATATTTATATTTTTGGGGGGAGGGGGTTATAAACCAAGTGAGGATCATCAGAATATTTATCCTGGAAGAATCCGATGAGCTATGAAGCTCTTTTTCACAAAAGTCCAGTAGGGGCGGGTCAGCGAGAGACAGATATATATCATGGTGTGGTAGCCATTCACGAAGCGGCTTCATTTCTTCTCGTATAATGCATAACAATAACAATGTACAACCACTTTGTCAATCCACTGCTGGATGACGGCCTCCTTAATCCGAATGAACCATGAAAAGGGGGGGGGGGAGTGTGTGGGTGGTTGTTTACCACGTGGTTGTTTACCACGTGGTTGTTTACCACGCGTTATCACTCGCCGCTGAATTTTAGCCGTCAGTGGCCACGAATCAATCTCAGGTCAGCGGGTTCACATGCCCGCAACGTGCTAACAATTCGCCGCGTTACCGCTACCACCACCACCAACCACCCACCCACCCCAGCCACTAATACCCCCGCCTCCACCACCACCAACCCGTAAAACACGTGCGCCGCATAAAATGGCCCCGAGTGTTTGGACAGCGCCGCAGGAGATAAGTGGACGTGCGCCGGGCGCGATAATGCAAAGCGAGGAGGACGGTCGCGAGAGATAGCGGCGAGGCGAGCGGGTCGAGCGCAGCGCTCAGCGAGATTACGGGGCCCAGCGCCAGCGGGAGAGGGAGGGAGGAGAGGGAGGAGGAGGGAGGGAGGAGGAGGATGGAGAGGGAGGATGAGGAGGATGGAGCGTGGAGATGGAGCCTGGAGAACGGGACGGCAGCGGCACAATAGCGCAGCTGACCAGCGGGGGGTTTCACCTCTTCCACCACCTCCTCATCTCCTCCTCCTCCTCCTTCCCAGCTGCCTCACTCACTGCAGGCTTCATCGTCACCTTCTTCATCGTGATCGGCATCGTCATGAGTACATTTTGAAAAAATATCGTCACAGGCCCAAAGGGACCGCAACAACAAGCGGGCAGCAACAAACAGCACTATTGTCGTGTAATAGATGCGAGTTAACACGTTTCTTTAAATTGGGAAGTGTTGCAAGAACTTAGTTTAAAGAAGACGACATGGGAGGGGAAGTCCAAAGTGGAGCAGTGCGAGGGCGGAGACAGAACGAGAAGCGTCGTGACCTGCAGTGTGGTGGTAGGACACAGTGTGATGGTAGGACACAGTGTGGTGGTAGGACACAGTGTGATGGTAGGACACAGTGTGGTGGTAGGACACAGTGTGGTGGTAGGACACAGTGTGGTGGTTGGACACAGTGTGATGGTAGGACACAGTGTGGTGGTAGGACACAGTGTGGACACAGTGTGGTGGTAGGTCAGTGTGGTGGTAGGACACAGTGTGGACACAGTGTGGTGGTAGGACACAGTGTGATGGTTGGACACAGTGTGGACACAGTGTGGACACAGTGTGATGGTTGGACACAGTGTGGACACAGTGTGGACACAGTGTGGACACAGTGTGGACACAGTGTGATGGTAGGACACAGTGTGGACACAATGAGGTGGTTGGACACAGTGTGGACACAATGTGGTGGTTGGACGCAGTGTGGACACAGTGTGGACACAGTGTGGACGAGCCGATAGTCGGTCTGGTCGACATGGGTGGAGGAATGAACGAGTGACGTTCACTGGAACAGTGATGGCAGCAGTGACGCTGACACACGCGGCGACTCCCATCGACTGAAAACTCATTCGAGAGCTGATTTCCGCGTCTTAGTTTGTTGACCTTTACCCCCACACCTCCGATTAGCGCCAGTTGGCTATGTACGGTGCGAAAGAAGTTCAGCATGCTGTACATACACAAGTCTGCACTACGTCCTCTCAAATGCCACACTCTCGATTCAAGGACGCGCCGTGACCTGCAATGTGCGACGACACTGAACGCATTTACTTTTGCGCGCACAATTTGGAGTCCATTGATGTTGTGACGCGCAATTGCCATCTTTTATTTGCAAGTTCGCACGCGATTTCAATTGCAAGAAGCATGTTTTACTCTTTTGTGAGTTAATCGTGGTCACGCAGAAACATAACTTACGGAGTTTTTGGGGGCTTTTGCCAAAAACTATTATACTCGTCGATGTTATTTTCACGAGAAGTCTTCCTTTTGATGGTGGGGAAGGTCTTTCAATCTGCTATAATTGTGTCATGTTTATATATTTTCACTACGTACATCGATGCAATTGCTGTTAGCCTCACCCACCACGTAAACATGCAGAACCTTAGCCCTTAAATATTTGTACGTCTTAGCCTTGATTGTTGGACTGACCGCTGCAGCTGAGACGTATTTCGATTATGAGCGTGTGTGTGTGTGTGTTTGTGTCTACCTGTGCCCCGTAATTCCAGCCGTGTGCTTACCTGGATGCAGTGGGATTTGTGACAAGCCTGGTGAGTGCAAGTGAGTGTCCAAATTATTTATGCATTCAGTCCATACACCTAGTATCGTAACAAGTACGGCGTACGATGCGCCACTCGATAAAGAGCAATCAGAATACACCAAAACCCAGTTACACCTGCTGTATGAATACATCGGAGCACAAGCCTGCTCGGGGTGGTGACACGGATGAGCGGCAGCTCCTTTTGCCGCCCGTTTCCAGATATTCGCAGTTCGAATCCAGCGGCCCGCCCTGGTAAAATAGCTGTGGCTGTCTTCACTAAAAATGCGCGCCGTTTGCCTCACAGTGGATATTGAAGATCCCGTGATGTTGTCCGTGTGTGCCGGCGTCACGGACGAACTTTTCAACAACAACAAAAATCACTCGCCAATTGCCTAATTGAATAAATACAACGAGCAGCATCATTGCTCAGTGTTAAACTAACGACTGCAGACTATAATAAAACCGTGAAACACAGCGCCTCTGTGATCGCCTGGCGCTGTAAGAGTGGTACAAACACCAAATGTAATGATGACGACGATTATGATGAGACTAATTTGATTTGAATTAGCAAACCGGTGGAGCTCAACTGTGCTAATCGTTTTTCCTTCCGTTGCCAGATGCCGCGTCGGGTGGCAGGGCCGCTACTGCGACGACTGCATCCGCTACCCGGGCTGCCTGCACGGCACGTGTCAGCGGCCCTGGCAGTGCACGTGCCGCGAGGGCTGGGGGGGCCTCTTCTGCAACCAAGGTGAGCGACGGAGCGAGCGCGCGACCCCCGTGCTGCCGGTCCACCCCTTTTGTCTGCACCGCAGCGCGCGGGCGCGAAACCGCCGCAACCGCCGTTGCCTCTGCGTTGCTCGCCACGTAGCACACTCGTTTTGAGACGTCAGTAAGTGTGAGGAACGCACCCTGTTATTCCTCATTGTCGTCGTTTGCCGTGGTCAACCCCGTCGCTCGATGAAGGCCTCCCCAAACCGCCACACCACCTCTGATGATCCTGCGAAGTAACAATCCGCACCGATACCTGCGCACGAACTGTCCTTATTGCTCCATCTCCTTGGTGGACATCCTCCCCGTACACGTTCCATACCTTGACTGGAATGCATGGAGCGATGAGATCAGCTTTAGGTCTCAATAAATAGATTGAACTGATTAAACAAATATATATACATCCATTCATGGGCATGCACTGAATATTATGCTACATTTTTTTCAAGTCTGTCAACATTCTTTCCCACACACGCGTGCCAACGTGGAACCAGGGCCAGCATTCCATCACAGTGTGAGGATTCATCATTGTTATGGAACCATTTGCCAACATGATCCTGAATCGCAGTGTAATGTCCCAAAATGTTGCCCGTATAAGCCGTCCTTCAGAGGGCCAAACAGACGAAGATCTGAGGGTGCCAGATCTCGGTTGTACGGAGGATGGGGCAGCACAGTCCACACGAACTGTGCATGAGCTTCTCTTGTTCTCATGTGCAATATTTACCTATAAAATCCTCACAGAGTCTGGAGACTCGTTTTCAGGATGGTCTTGTTTTTGGGGATGATTGGCCAATTCTATCAACAAGTGTTTGGCATTTGGGTGGACAAATGCCAGAGAAAGCCCATGTACACGAGGGAATAACACTCAAAACTGGCGCCGCGCATAGTTTGAATTCACAGCTGAAGAAATTAAATTTCACTCTTTGTGTGGACTGAGTTCATTAGAATCACCACGTCTCAATTTCAGATTATTAAAAGCAGAACTTTTCACTATAAGGAATTTGGATTTTTCACCATAAGCGTTAATTGTATGCATACATCTCAATTCAAAAGCTGATGCACTTTAACCGTCACACCTTGAGGAGCAACTTACTGTTCTTGAGAATGTCAGTGTGGTTATTTTCTTTGACTCTAGGATGTGGACAATTATAAATTATAGTTCCCTTTCTCTAGTTAATTCAGTGTTCGTAGTGGACTTTATTTTTAATGGTGTGCATTATATAATTCCACGCTGCATTGCCCCGAAACTTTAAACGGCATGCAAAAAAACACGCTCAACACTTTTAACACCACAATTAAACCAAAAATACTGAGCAAGTGCGACACGTGTGTCACAAAAGCTCCTCTTCAGTCCTTTGGTGGCAAAGGGAGTTGGCTCACAAGGATTCGGGAAACTGCCAATCCCATTTGGGCTATGAGGTGGCCAGCAACTGATAGCACAGGTACAGAAGTGTACGTTCGAACATGTATTCCTAAATCCATCTGTGTGGAGATTTGAGTGTTGCATGGGGTTTCTCTCTGGCAACTATGGTTCCCTCCCACGTATGGGATGCTGTGGTGGCTAGATTTTAACTACCTCAGCTGTTTAACACGTAGGCTTTCGCGGCCAATATTATTCATAATAAAGGTTTTTGGGTTAGATCGCGTTATTTATAAATATGTCGTAACCCTCCACCACCCGACGGCCAATCAGTAAAAAAATGTGTCACGTTGACAAAAGACAAATAGTTCACTACTTTAGCCCACCCGGTGTGTTGAAGAGTGAATCTACAACATTTGCAATTTTTTAGTACAACGTTTCGCTGGTAATTACATCCAGCATCATCGGGCAATTTGCCAGAATGGTGAAGCCCTCCACTTGCTCCCGGTCTTAAATAGAGCAGCAGGGTGACGTCATCATCATTTAACCCAATCAGATGCAGAGATCAGAGGCGAAGAGGGGGGGGGGGGGGGTATTGTAAGTATATAATAGATTAGTAATCAGTTCATTGTTATTATTAGTAATCAGTTGTAGATTAGTTGTAATGTGTTTTATTTAATGACTAAACCCAATCACTATACCCAATCATGTGCAGAAATCAGAGGTGGCGTACGGGGAGGGGGTGGGGGAGTATTGTAATTATATAATAGATTATTAATCAGTTAATTATTATGATTAGTGATCAGTTGTACATTAGTAATTAGTTGTAATGTGTATTATTTAATAACTGAACACAATCACTATACCCAATCTGGTGCAGAAATCAGAGGTGGTGGAGGGGGGGTTATTGTAATTATATACTACGTTAGTAATCAGTTAATTAGTATGTGTTTCCCCTATAAGCCATTGTAATTGTAGTATGTATTATTTAATAATACGCTTCCAGGCCACGCTAAGCCTGTAGCTGTCAGAGCGATTAAAGTTATTTCTATTTCTATCGATTTCAATGGATTCTCTAATTAGTCTTGGCCAGTAATAATTCGTTTTACACAACACTTCAACGTTATCAAAAGCAATTGAGTGACCTTGTTGGCAAGCATGTTCTGCCACTGCCCACAGTTGTGTTTGAGATAATTTAATATTTCTTTGGTGTTCTTTTAGTCTTACGCTGATGTTACGTCCCTCCCGTCTGTCCAATATACCTGGTATGCAGGAAGAAGTGGGTTCGATCCCGACCCTTAATGCCTGCTCTATATTTGGAGTTTGCATGTCTCTCTCCCCTTGGTCGTTCAGATTTTTCTCCGGGTTCTCCGGTTTTCCCCTCCACATATAGAAACATGCGTTTAGAATATATTTTGTTGCTATACATTTCCATGTGATGATACGCCTTTGTTGAGCTATTATTTGTGGCCAGGTCACTTCTGAAAAAGAGCTTAATAGCTCAGCAGGCCTTACCTGGGAACGTTAAGTTTAGTTTTAGTAACGTGAATGGAATTTCCCAAAGCGTCCGAATTGGGGACACTCCAGTAAAAGGAGTCTTGAGATCAATGGAAACCTTTCTGGATAAAGGGCATTCATTATTATCCGCCTAAAATAATCTCATTTACAATGAGAGTATAGATTTACTATAATCACAGCCACTTTCCAATTCATTCTTTGGTTCAAATAAATTATTTTTAGTTCGTTCAAATTGTTTGTAAATCAACAGGATGCATACGACACGCATACATCCTACTAAATAAGTATCCTGCTCTCAACAAGGCTAAAAATGTACACTTCCTTTTTACATACAAGTAAATATATATTTTTGTTGAGTAAATACATTTAGGATGTGGTGATTGAAAGGTCCCTTACTATTTGCAGCTTATCTCAAAAGTGGGAGAGGAAAAAACGAACATCCTGTGGAGGTTTCTGTTGATCAGCAGACAGCAGAGTGGTCAGCAGAGTTTGAGTTTGGGGGGTGTGCGGGAGGGGCAGTGGAGGGGGAGGGAGAGGAGGAAGGAGAGACGCTGAAAGCCCGATTGAGCTCCAAGCTCAAGCGCGTGTTTTTGTGGTTGTACCACTACGTGTTGTTCGGCACAATGACCAACGTTTCGCTAGACGTGCTTAGAGCTCCTTCAGGATTTGAACTGAAGAAGCACCCCCCCCCCCCCCCCCAGTACATGGACATCTGTGAAAAATAAAGCTTCATAGCTCATCAGATTCTTCCAGTCTCAATACAGTTTCTGATGTTGGACATCTTCGAAATCCGCGAGCGATGCAACCAGAAATCGCATCGGACAGCTAGGCCTGAGCTCCCTCTCCACTGCTGGACGGTGCCACCATCTCATCTCGTTTTTCTACACTCCCAACAACAACAATCCAGGGACTGGGGGCATGGCTCCCCCTGTAGCTGCCCATCGCCGATGTATCAATGGGCTGTCCTGGCCAGTGCCCTGGGGTCCATCTGTAACTTTGCTTGTAAGCTGGGGTCTACTGCTTTCATTTGCGGTGACCCCTGCGCATGGCCCCCACCCTCCGGACCTCATTGGCAGTAGCATGCGCGGCGTCACTGACGATTTCATGCATCCAGAGACTCCCCTCCTCCCCCAATGAGTAATGAGGTCTCTGTAATTGCCAGGGTAAGGTGCTCACCCAGGTGATAACCAGGGGGCCACTTAGTGACTCTCAAAATGCCCAGCCAACACTCAGTCACTCATTACTGCACTTGGTGACCTGACCTAGATAGCTCTCATCAGGAAGCCTACTTGGATAACAATGAATACATCAGAGTGCTGTTACGGAGGACTAATTCCGTTGAAGGAAATGGGAAGTTACTCAACTTAAAATAGCAAAAAAAAAATCTTCATTCAAATAAGTCGAGTTATATGCCCCTGCAAGTTGCCATGCAGCGTTGAACGCATCTCGCCCTTTTGATTGTGAACGTCTTCTCGCTGATTTTCTGTCCAAACTTCCCTACGCCTTGCTCCTTTAAAGGATATCGAGATCGCGTAGGTTACCACGCCCATGCGAGTACTCGGAGCGATTTTTGGAGCAGAAAATAATTTAAAAAAAAAGGACTGAAGCCCAGTGCTCAAACCTCAGACTTCAAACGTGCTCAAAATTGTAGCCACTTCCTCTTTGAAGCTGTTCTGGCATTCAAGAAAGGCCACTTGAGAATACCGCAACTCGTGTCAAGTCAAAGCCAAGAATGTTTTGCGTGGAAGGCCACGAGTAGCTCTGTGATGTCACCTTCCAGAAGCTGTTCTCCCCTGTGGGGTGGCGCTCCACCGGTTTTTCCGCAGGAGTTCTAAATAAAAGGCTCTTCGTTTATCCCATGACACGGTGCCAATAGCACAATTATCATTCGACAAAATAGACAATTGCCCATCGCCACGTATGTGACCTTGTTGTCACAGCTCTCTCGCTGGCTCAGCAGTTCCACTGCTCGATTTAGTTTTTTCCCGCCTGAGGACGGCCGCTTGGGGTTGCGATCGATACGTCGCGATTTATTATTTTTTGTTTTATTTTAATTTCTACCTGCGTGACTTTACCGAAGGAACCAAAGAGCATGGACAATAAGTGTTTGAATGCTTACGGTAACTATTGGAAAAACATTTTTTTTACACAAATGTTTATTGTCGGGGGAAAAGCGAAGAACCGCGCGCTTTTTGTGCGTTTAAATATTCGCGCGCGTGCCGTGCCTATTGCTGGCACACGGTAAGTCAACGACGAGACCTTTGTTGCCTTTGCCTCTGTCGCTTTTTGCCTCTGGAGATCTCAACTACTGCACGAACCACAGGCCGTGCCAGAACGGTGCCACCTGCACCAACAGCGGCCAGGGAAGCTACAGCTGCACGTGCCAGCCTGGCTACTCGGGCATCAACTGCGAGTTCTCGGTGAACGAGTGCAACGTCAACCCCTGCCGCAATGGTGGCAGCTGCACGGTAACACGCGCGCACACCTGGACCACGTTCTTGTTCGTGTTTTGAGTTTTTTTTGTTTGTTGCGGTTGTGCCCGAATCAAGAGCCGGATGGCTCACAGGGCTCTACCAAATACGAATGAAACTGAAACCACGCAGGTCCACTACACTGGCGCGTGTGAGGGCGACTGTGAACTTCTTCTCCACTGTACCTATCACTTGTACTGTGTTGTACCTACCACTTGTCCTGTTTGCACAGTCACATAGTCACTTTAGGATGTTTTTCTTGTTCGTGTTTTTTGTTTGTTGCGGTTGCACCCGATTCAAGAGACAAATGGCTCACAGGGCTATACCAACATAAATGAAACTGAAACTGTACCTACCACTTGTACTGTGTTGTACCTACCACTTGTTCTGCGAGTTATTTCAACGTGTCATTCTCCGAGGTGTTTTCGTGTTGTTCGGCATGATGTCCGACGTTTCGCTCCGTGTGCCGGGCACTCCGTCTGTTTGTATGTGTTCTCATTAATCCCATCTTCACTGTATACTAGGAAGCTCCATTTCCGTATTGTAAGGTGAATGTTACGTCATGGAAACACTTATTTAGCAAAGTAATTTTTATATAAAATATGTAATGAGACAACAAACGTGCCTGGGAATGTGGTGACGTATTTGTTTGTATGACCGCATGCTTCGCTGTGAAAGTTAGTTACCAACCTATGCCAACATTATAACTGGGTATCCTCCTCTTCCTCATGCATATTCAGCGCCTCTTCCCAAACGTCTTTGTTCTTTCTCAATTCCCAGTGCTGTTCCTGTTGTCAGTGCCTCCATTACTGCTTCACTCTTTTTTCCTCCCTCCTGAGACCTTCTCACAATGCACCGTTTTAACAAAAAATGTCGCAGCGTCTATTAGTCACCCCCCCCTTTTTGCGGATGGTCATCGAGGCTCCTGCAAATGTTCTGTCCATCGTGGGGAAAGCAATGTACAGTAGAGGCTAGAACAAACTACCGTGGCACCGGTTTGTTTGCTACTGGGCAGTAGCGTGGGGAGGCGTAGAACGGTTTTACAAGTGTAATGACGACTTTACACACTTCTCTCGAGATGGCACTTCATTGAAGACACGTTCACTTGACATCAGGCGGACACCCCCACTGCAACAGCCCCGAATCTCCCGCGCATCTCCCCCTTATATACCAACACGAGGCCATGCCCCCCTTCCCGAACCTTCTAGCTGACTCTGGAAGCTCCCTCCACCGGCAGACTCTACCGTCCGTATGGGGCAGGTGGAGGGTATAGATGCACTTTTGTCGTGTGTGTACCCCAGGTAAGACAATGCTGTATCCGAGGGTGTAATACACTAAAAGATCGACATGCAAAGCACTTCGCTTTGATTCCCTACTTCAGTATATTGTATAAAAAAAACACGGATTTTTTACACAAATAAAATAATCATTTACAACTGCGTTATGAAAATGAATGTACAAGAACACAGTTGCTTTGCACTGTTAAAAAAAAAACCTAAATCGTGACCTAACGGCGTACGGAAACCCGTGGCTATTGGGTGCCAAGTGAGGCCCCCTCCCTCACCCCTCGATGTGTGACTCCCCCGGCTACAGCGTCTCTCCAACGGGAGACGCCCTTGTCAACTTCAACAGCAAAGTGATGTACTTACAACAACACTGGCGGGTTTTTTTTTCACTGTTATAACCCTCAATTGGCTCGAATCCCCCTTTCCACTAACTCTGGTAATCGCCCACGGGGCACATTTAACGGTGGAACTCAGTGCTTTTCTCCCCCCCCCACTTCCCCCCACCACCTCCCCCCCCCCCCCACCATCTCACCCCCCCCCCCCCCCACCATCTCACCCCCACCCACGGTCTGCCACGTTGGGGGCAATAGGGCCCCCCTGCCCTTCCTGTGGTACCGCCTATGGGAAACAGTGCAATACCTTCCTGGTGATAGTTAGGTGCTCAGGAGTTAAGGACATTTTAAAAAGGCCACACTTCTCAAGTGTTCTTTTGGCCGGTCGACAGGAATGAGACTTTGACGCAGGGTGCACGCACACCGCGTTTGGGGGGGCAGAGGACAGTTCACGGAAATCTGTTCTACCCTACTTCCATGTTCGTGCTCCTCACTTTCAACAACCTGGACTTATTGGCATGTGCCAAGTTTGGATAAATAGTAGTGGAGTAACAGAAAAAAAAGGGCATTCACACGTGTACATATGCACCAACACAGGGCAAACAGAATGTAGTGGTGTCTCCGCAATGCCTTTGTTACATGTATGGATTTGATAAGAGCAATTGGGTAGTAACTTTCGCGTGTAAATGTGACTTGGGAGTTGCTGGTTTCTATTCACTTTCAAAGGATACCTGAAGGCATCGAGGGGAGTGTGCACGGTTAATGCATGCCTTTAGCTACCAAAGATTGCTCTTATTGGTCGCTCACAGATAAACATTCCCACTGTCCACATCCTTGCGCAGGATTATGCGGCTTCCTCTGCACGATTGGGATGAGACCGGTTAAGGGGCTCTCTTGATGGACTGCAGTGACATTGTAATGTCATTTCAGACGCACGTTTTTAACACTTTGCTCTGATTTTTTTTTGCTCAGTTTCTTTTTTCATTGTGAATCTTGGCAGCGCTTCGAGATGAATCATGTGCATGGTGGCTTTCCAGGAAGGAAGGGTGTGTGCTGTCTTAGCGCTCTGTAGCAGCCAGCACTCGGGCAATGCTGGGTCAGCATAGCAGTTGTGCACAAGTTGTGCAAAAACAGGGGGACGAGGGTGTGCGTGATAAATGTGTACGCATTGATGCCAACAAGGGGACTTTGGTGGTCGCCAGCTTGCGATGAATAATTCGTGTTAACGAGCCTGCTGCATGTAAAGTGCCATCAGATTTACACGAACAACGCCCATTACACCTACACGCCACCCAGATGCCTTTCACGCTCAGCATCAACTCACGCCTTCCTGCGACTATGAGTTTCATACGCCTCGGTCAATTTTATTACCCGAGGTGTGGGCCGTTGAAATTTGACATTTACCTTTCACGCTGATATCTTCCAGTTCTTCTATTTATCATGTTATGTTTGCCCCAGGTGAACAACGCAAAAACGCCACTTTAAGGCTTTGTTCAAGCGTTTGATTTGAGAGAAAAAGGACTGTAAAAATACAAATAAAGAAGTTGAGGAAAATATTAACCTTTTTTATATTCTATGGTTCTTTCGGTAAAGTCACAGAAAAAAATAATAATAAAGTGATATTTTAAATAAAAATAAAGTGTTATTTTTATCACTTTATTTTTATTATGATTTCTTCCGAAAAAAACATAGAATATGAATTCACGAAATTTTTAAGTCAAAAATAAAATATTCCCCCTTAACCTCCAGGAATGTACCTTTCTCAATGTGTCCTTTGACCTCAGAACGCACCCTGTGTTATGCCCCCCCCCCTCCCCCCTCCAAGGTTACCCTGCCGGCTTTATCCGTGTCAAAACTGCGGAAGGGAGGCGGAGTTTTACCCAACAGTCTTGGTAAGTTAATGTTAATTCGTGCGTGGACGTGCATGACTTGCAGGACCTGGAGAATGACTACAGCTGCGTGTGCCCGTCTGGATTCTTTGGTAAAAATTGCGACATGAGCTCCATGTCGTGCGACGACACACCCTGCTTCAACGGAGGCCGCTGCGCCGACGACGCGGAGGGAGGCGGCTACTCGTGCCACTGCCCGCCCGGCTTCTCCGGGTTCAACTGTGAGAAAAAGGCTGAGCACTGCAGCAGCAATCCCTGCGCCAATGGTGAGGAGGAGTCCGAAGCCTTTACGCATTACATGTTTGTGATCATCGTGGTCTTTAATGATATAGAACAAGAACTCATCACATTTGGGTGTGTCGGCCATTGGCTCATCTCCTTGCTACGAAGAAACGGCCTATTGCCCAAATCATCCCATGATATGTTTAATTCTCGGGCAGTGTCATTTACTAATGTGTTAAGCCTGTGTTTATTTGTGCCCGTGAAGTACTGCCAATGCAGTGCCCCAGCAAATATTTTCGTCACACTCTTTGGTTCTTTCGGTAAAGTCACGTAGGTAAAAATAAAAAAACAAAGTTAATCAAATCACGACGTTTTGGAAGCAACACAAGCCTCCGTCATCAGGTGGGATAGTCGCAGCAAATTACTTCTGGCTGTGTGGCTTAGCAGTCACAGCAGACTTGACACCCCTGAGATCCTGGGGTTGGAATCCAACTTTCATTCCCCCCAAATTAAACAGGGCTCTCAAGTGCAGAAAGTTGATAGTAACAGCCTGTTGACCAATGCCTACGCAATACAAAAAAATCACGTAAAAAGCGGCGTTCCATTTTACGTATTTAATTCCAGATCTGAAACTTAAAACATTTAATTTTGCTTGTCATTACACAAACACTCTTTGCAGGGCATATTAAACACGTGCAGCTCTTCGTCATTTGATGCCGAAAACAAATTTGCAATATGCTCGGGGTGAAAAGCGGCGTGATAAGTTTTGAACTTTGCTTGTCCCTTGCACTTGAGTAACCCAGAGTCACAAAAAGTTCTGCAATATGCAGCAACTCTCCTGTCAGATCACGTTATGGTTGAGTAAAGGGCCCACACAGAATTATGGGAAACCCCACAGTATCATGCAAAAACTAGGCCAGTAATGATTTGCTTCCCTTGCGATCCAATGGATTGTCAGAATTCAAGGCCACGATTAGATTGTATAATCCTGAACGGGTTTATAAAGACAAATTATGTGCAGTATAATGAAGGGCAAAATAAGGCGAGATGGAAATGGCGTGCTAAAATGCATTCCAGGGAAACAGTGTTCCGGACTGTTATGGCTGAAAATAAGCACTGAATAGAACCAACAGCTTCAAAAGGCTAAAAATGTCACCTTCCGACAATTCCATGCTTTCACGTAAGTTGGACATCCTCTGTTCAATGTGAGTGCCATTAGGGGTTACCAAAACAAGGCGTGTGGCCGAAATATTTTTCACGTTTACAATCTCTGCTCTGGGCTGCGCTAATTGGTGAAACCCTTTGTTCAGATAATCATAGCCTAATAAAAGAAAAATAAACAAGATTTCCAGCAGGAGGAAGTGGGGGGGGAGAATGGGGAAAGAGGCTGCAGGGGAAAGGCCAGACTAAGCAGGAAGACACCAGGGGTCAGGCCGGACTGAGCGGTATGACGCAGGACATGGGCCAGACTAAGCAGGTAGAGCTGAGAGCAGCGTCCGGGGCAACGTGATCATGTGCAGGCCACTGAGCTCGGGACATTTCCTTAAGAAACATCAGTGGTTCCCACGTCCAAAAATCTAACGGACATCTGCGAAGACTGCCGTACACTTATACTCTTGGTTCTTTCGGTAAGGTCACGTAGAAAATGTTCTTGCTGTGGTTTTCACACCTGATGATGACTGCTTGTGTTGCAGTCGAAACGTCGTGAGAATTTTATTGTTTTAGATTTGTATTATTTTATTGTTTCCCTTCTACGTGACTTTACCGAAAGAACCAAGAATATGAATCCCTGCAGTCACGAAAGCTTTAAATCCAAATTTACTGTACATTTGTGAAAAAAGAGCCTTATGCAGTGAGGGAAAAAAGTATTTGATCCCCTGCTGATTTTGTACGTTTGCCTACTGACAAAGAAATGATCAGTCTATAATTTTACTGGTAGGTGTATTTGAACAGTGAGAGACAGAATAACAACAACGAAAAATCCAGAAAAACGCATGTCAAAAATGTTATAAATTGATTTGCATTTTAATGAGGGAAATAAGTATTTGACCCCTCTGCAAAAGATGACTTAGTACTTGGTGGCAAAATCCTTGTTGGCAATCACAGAGGTCAGGCGTTTCTTGTAGTTGGCCACCAGGTTTACACACATCTCAGGAGGGATTTTGTCCCACTCCTCTTTGCAGATCTTCTCCAAGTCATTAAGGTTTCGAGGCTGACGTTTGGCAACTCGAACCTTCAGCTCCCTCCACAGATTTTCTATGGGATTAAGGTCTGGAGACTGGCTAGGCCACTCCAGGACCTTAATGTGCTTCTTCTTGAGCCACTCCTTTGTTGCCTTGGCCATGTGTTTTGGGTCATTGTCATGCTGGAATACCCATCCACGACCCATTTTCAATGCCCTGGCTGAGGGAAGGAAGGTTCTCACCCAAGATTTGACGGTACATGGCCCCGTCCATCGTCCCTTTGATGCGGTGAAGTTGTCCTGTCCCCTTAGCAGAAAAACTCCCCCAAAGCATAATGTTTCCACCACCATGTTTGACGGTGGGGATGGTGTTCTTGGGGTCATAGGCAGCATTCCTCCTCCTCCAAACACGGCGAGTTGAGTTGATGCCAAAGAGCTCCATTTTGGTCTCATCTGACCACAACACTTTCACCCAGTTGTCCTCTGAATCATTCAGATGTTCATTGGCAAACTTCAGACGGGCATGTATATGTGCTTTCTTGAGCAGAGGGATCTTGCGGGCGCTGCAGGATTTCAGTCCTTCACGGCGTAGTGTGTTACCAATTGTTTTCTTGGTGACTATGGTCCCAGCTGCCTTGAGATCATTGACAAGATCCTCCCGTGTAGTTCTGGACTGATTCCTCACCGTTCTCATGATCATTGCAACTCCACGAGGTGAGATCTTGCATGGAGCCCCAGGCCGAGGGAGATTGATAGTTCTTTGGTGTTTCTTCCATTTGCGAATAACCGCACCAACTGTTGTCACCTTCTCACCAAGCTGCTTGGCAATGGTCTTGTAGACCATTCCAGTTTTATGTAGGTCTACAATCTTGTCCCTGACATCCTTGGAGAGCTCTTTGGTCTTGGCCATGATGGAGAGTTTGGAATCTGATTTATTGATTGCTTCTGTAGACAGGTGTCTTTTATAGCGGTAACAAGCTGAGATTAGGAGCACTCCCTTTAAGAGTGTGCTCCTAAACTCAGCTCGTTACCTGTACAAAAGACACCTGGGAGCCAGAAATCTTTCTGATTGAGAGGGGGTCAAATACGTATTTCCCTCATTACAATGCAAATCCATTTATAAAATTTTTGACATGCGTTTTTCTGGATTTGTTTGTTGTTATTCTGTCTCTCACTGTTCAAATAAACCTACCATTAAAATTATAGACTGATCATTTCTTTGTCAGTGGGCAAACGTACAAAATCAGCAGGGAATCAAATACTTTTTTTCCCTCACTGTAGCTCATCGGATTCCTCCACTATAAATAAATATTCTGATTCTGAACTTCAATTTAAGCAGTTAACTGAAGTATGATTAAGCAAGCACTCTGGTTATTTGTCTCGGTGTATACCAGATTTTTGTTCCAGTTGACGGAGGTTCTCAACAGCTGAGAATTTGTTCTCATGAGTAACTTTCACAGTAGTTAGCTGTGGCGTACAGGTCACGTGGGTGGCTTTCTCAAGATTCAAGGTAGGCAAAAGGTGGAAGCCGCCCTGCCATTCGCTGGCTCACGCCACTAAGAGAACCGCTCCAGAGGGTCCCTTTATCGACTCTTCCATGCTGGCCAGACTTCTTGGAAGAGAGGGAAATACCCAACACTTTACCCCACCACGTGCGACCTACCGACATAGTTCACTGCATTTGCACCCATTTATACTGCTGGGTGAACAGGGGACGATGGGAGTGGGGGTGGGGGGGGTTAAGATTTTTAATTGGAATAGGATGGCTTGCTCGCGCTTATTGGTGGACTGCGACGCGTTCACACAGGCGCGCAATGCTTGGACCTGGAAGCCACCTTCAAGTGCCGATGCAAGCCCGGCTTCAGCGGGAACCGGTGCGAGATGAACGTGGACGACTGCGGAAGACAGCCCTGCCTCCACGGTGGCACGTGCCGCGACCTTGTGAATGGGTTCACATGCTCGTGCCCAACGGGCTACGAGGGCAAGGACTGCGGCACCCCTGCCTCCTATTGCCAAAGTGGGCCGTGCTTCAACGGTGGAGTCTGCGTCCTTCAGAGCGGCGACGGTGGCTACGCTTGCGAGTGCAGGGTCGGCTTTGGGGGAATCGACTGCGGCGAGCTGGTGCTGACACGCACTAACACCGCGATCTCGAACGTGCCGAGCAACTTCAAGCGCCACGAAGGCTCTGGGGAGGCATTCCCCTGGCTGGCTGTGGGCACGGGGCTCGGCATGGTGCTGCTGCTGCTTGCTGGTACCATTCTGCTCCTGGTATGTCGGCGCCTCAAGCAAAGTCAGAGCGGCCAGATAGAAACGGCCGACGGTAATAATGGCATGAACAATCGCAACGTCTGCGAGAGGGAAAAGGAACTCGCCGTGAATCTCTTAACCGGTGTGGAGCTAAAAAACACGAACAAGCAAATGGACGTAGAGCCTGAGGGTTGCTTGCTCAAGTCAGGATACCGGCTGAAATATCAGGACATGGATTACAACATGATCCTGGAGACGGCTGCCGAAGCTGCTGAAGACCACGCGAGTGGGGACAAGTGCCAGGAGGCCAACGACAATCCCCAGAGTAGCGGCGAGGCCTCCTCCCCATCGGAGGCCAGCTGCACGTCCGTGCACATCAGCTGCCCCGAGCAGGCCGAGCAAATAGTAGCCACAGAGGTGAGTGTGCATCCTGCGCGCACGCGACGACCCGCAACACGCCCACGTTGCATTTGACCAGAAACGCTCGGCTTTGTAACCACCAGACGCTTCCTCTGTCCTGTGTTGCAGGTATGAGACCGCCGAGATTGTCGTGGAACCTGAAGTACCCAATGCTTCGGACGGCCACGTACCAAGAATGTGCTTTGCTGAGAGTGTGCCATGGGCCATGAAGGTTGTTTCGCCACGCTTCCTTTTGCTGTTTGCGGAGTGGACGTTTGAACTCTGCTGCCCTTGAAACTCTCCCACCACAGTCGCGCGTCGTTCTCACAGCCCGTTGGAAATGTTGCCACGACTGGAACGTACAAGCCGGCTGGGGAGCTTATACAATACCACAGAATGTGAATGGGAGAAGTTGTAAATGGAAAGAGAGCGGGGCAACTTTTGTTACACGTATACATGTATACTTTTTTTTGTATATCTAATGACTGCTGTGACCAGCATGTCTGGTGTCTTTGCACTACTTTTGTGGAATTGTTCTTCCCGCTGGTCGAATTCCAGATCGTCATAATTCAGTGTTGTTCCCATCAAACTGAAATGTGTTCCTCCGTTCATGGAGACCCAAACGAATCCGTTCATGTAAATTGGAACTTAAACGGAAAAAAAAAACCAACAAAAAGTTTCGTCAAAGGCACTACAATTTTGAAAAGGAATCGGTTTTTTTTTCTCCCAAACAAACCAAAACATTCCCATGATTCTACCCACCTGCAGTGCTCCGACTACTGCGTAGGTTTTCACGGTTGTGCTGTACAGCTCTCCGGCGTGCTTTGCGGTTGTGCCGTTGTTCGGCACGGCGTTTGCTCCAACGTGATAACAATTAACGTTGAATCGTAAAGTAGTAATGTACAGCCCTTTGTCAATCAACTTTTAGATGAAGGTCTCCCAATGCCATGTCGGTCGTAGGGGGAGGGAGGGGGGGTTATTTGACCATACTTCACCACACTGTTCAGTGCTGGTTGAAGGGGACCCCATGACCGGTTCAGACGTCACTTGCCGCTGATGCTCGCCGTAGCCGGGAATTCAACTGAGCTTGCTGCGATCACGGTTAAAAAAAAAACGTAGCGACATGGAGAAACTGTGACTTTAACGAAGGCGGGGGAAAACCCAGAAACTTAAAACAAATCTGAAACGACACTTTTCAGTCGTGAAACTGGAACAACACTGCAGCACTCATCACTTTCTGTCCGATATGCAAACCCAGCACCCTTCCACCCTCTCGTTTGCCTCGCCGAATTTCCGCAAGCCCGCTATTGAAAACAAACTGGTATTTTCTACTATTCCCGTTAACGTTGAAGCAATAAGTATTACTTTAAGGTGTAATGTTAATTTATGTATGCAAAGCACTGAAGCTTTATATGTTTGTATGAAAAAAAAGGTGTGTAAATAATGCTTATTTATTAATTTCTTTTGTACAATATATTTATTATTTTTTAATAGATGGAGGTTTTAGAATTTTTATTTAAAATAAATAGCCCGTTTTTTCCATGAAACCCGTGTCCGTGTTTGTAACGGTTTTTGACAAATGATGGGCAGGTGACTCGTGCGGCCACTGCCAGTGAAGTTGCATTGTGCGACAAGCCACTTGGTGGGTGAGCCACATCGAGAAAGCGTGCATGTCATCATGCACCCTCAACACAATTTTAATTGTCACAATGTGTGTGTGTGTGTGGGGGGGGGGGGGTCACGATTCAATCAAAAAACAGGCAATTCTCTTTTCCACGGTCTCTTTTGTATTTCCTGCCCTGTATGTTCCGTTGGTGCCGTCCTCGTTCATTCTGTTCGCAGTGTTTCTCAAACGCCGGATCACGCAGCATCCCAGTATAGCCTCCTGTGATCACGAGCCACCAGGCTACTGCATGAACGCACCATTTCAATTTACTCATTAACTTTAGTCGTGGCAAACTCCAGTTGTGCGGTGGGGGGGGTGCGTGAAGTCGTGAGAATTGGAGTTTGAGAAATACTAAAATCACCCTCAATGTCACATTTGCATATCATCGACACAATTGTATGCATATATCCGAAGAGTAATAATTTACTTTCATGCATGAGTCATTACATGCCTAAGACCCAATACTTATTGTCAAAAAACTACTGATATGTATTGCCAATCATTGTATGAGTGAATTGGTAGAATTTTTTTACTTTTACATTGTGTACAGTCTGGAAGCTACCCACATGCCAAATTTCAAGATTGTTGCATGTCGGGAAGTATGCTAAACATTTCGAACAGACACACATTCACAAATTTCCCTTATATATAGACTAGCTTTACTACCCGGACTTGGATTCACCACGCCCGGCCGCCTTTGTCTCCCCAGTGGCGATGTTCACACACCACACCAGTTACTCGTTTGAGGCTGAGTCGACGTAGGGGAGGCCCAGGACCGGTTCAAATAATCGTCACTGATGGTGGCCGTGAGCGGGAATCGAACTCGGGTCGCCGGGTTCGTAGCGCAGCGCGCTAACCACTACACTACCGCTCCCCCCACACAGACACACACACAGCACGCTAACCACTACACTACCGCTCCCCCCACACAGACACACACACAGACACACACAGCACGCTAACCACTACACTACCGCTCCCCCCACACAGACACACACACAGACACACACAGCACGCTAACCACTACACTACCGCTCCCCCCACACAGACACACACACAGACACACACAGCACGCTAACCACTACACTACCTCTCCCCCCACACAGACACACACACAGACACACACAGCACGCTAACCACTACACTACCGCTCCCCCCACACAGACACACACACAGACACACACAGCACGCTAACCACTACACTACCTCTCCCCCCACACAGACACGCACGCGTCCATAGGTACACATACACGCGCTAGCTGCAGACACACACAACTTTCAGGGTGCGTACGGCAGTAAACGACTGAAATAATAAAGCAATGCTGTAAGAAGAACGCCTTAGACCTGCAACACATTTGTATGGCACTTTACTCGCGGAGGGTTGCGGGGGGGGGATATGTGACATCAGCAGGCACACTGTGTGACGCCTCCGCCTGCGCGGGTGACACCACAGATGTGACATCACAGATGTGACATCACAGATGTGACATCACATATGTGACATCACAGATGTGGCATCACAGATGTGGCATCACAGATGTGACACCACAACAATGATGACACCACCACAACGATGACACCACAACAACTATGACACCACAACAACGATGACACCACAACAACGATGACACCACAACAATGATGACACCACAACAATGATGACACCACAACAACTATGACACCACAACAATGATGACACCACAACAATGATGACACCACCACAATGATGACACCACCACAATGATGACACCACAACAATGATGACACCACCACAATGATGCCACCACAACAATGATGACACCACAACAACGATGACACCACAACAACGATGACACCACAACAATGATGACACCACACCAATGATGACACCACAACAATGATGACACCAACACAACGATGACACCACAACAACTATGACACCACAACAATGATGACACCACAACAACTATGACACCACAACATTGATGGCACCACAACAATGATGACACCACAACAATGATGACACCACAACAATGATGACACCACCACAACTATGACACCACAACAATGATGACATCACAACAATGATGACACTACAACAATGATGACACCACAACAACTATGACACCAAAACAATGATGACACCACAACAATGATGACACCATAACAATGATGACACCACAACAATGATGACACCACAACAATGATGACACCACCACAACTATGACACCACAACAATGATGACACCACAACAATGATGACACCACAACAACGATGACAACACAACAACGATGACACTACAACAATGATGACACCACCACAGTGATGGCACCGCAACAATGATGACATCACAACAATGATGACATCACAACAATGATAGCACCACAACAATTATGACATCACAACAATGATGACATCACAACAACGAGAGCACCACAACAATGATGACACCACAACAATGATGACACCACAACAATGATGACATCACAACAATGATGACACCACAACAATGATGGCACCACAATAATGATGGCATCACAACAATGATGACACCACAACATTGACACCACAACAATGATGGCACCACAACAATGATGACATCACAACAATGATGACACCACAACAATGATAGCACCACAACAATGATGACACCACAACGATGACACCACAACAATGACGGCACCACTACAACGATGACACCACAACAATGATGACGCCACAACAATGATGACACCACAACAATGATGACAACACAACAATGATGACACCACAACAATGATGACATGACAACAATGATGACACCACAACAATGATGACACCACAACAATGATGGCACCACAGCAATGATGACACCACAACAATGATGACACCACAACAACTATGACACCACAACAATGATGACACCACAACAATGATGACACCACAGCAATGATGACACCACCACAATGATGACACCACAACAATGATGACACCACAACAATGATGACACCACAACAATGATGACATCACAACATTGATGACACCACAACAATGATGACACCACAACAATGATGGCACCACAGCAATGATGACACCACAACAATGATGACACCACAATAATGATAGCACCACAACAATGATGACATCACAACAAGATGGCACCACCACAGTGATGGCACCACAACAATGATAGCACCACAACAATGATGACATCACAACAATGATGACATCACAACAATGATTACATAGCAACAATGATACCACCACAACAATTATGACATCGCAACAATGATGACATCACAACAACGAGAGCACCACAACAATGATGACACCACAACAATGATGGCACCACAACAATGATGGCATCACAACAATGATGACACCACAACATTGACACCACAACAATGATGGCACCACAACAATGATGACATCACAACAATGATGACACCACAACAATGATGACACCACAACAATGATGACACCACAACAATGATGACATCACAACAATGATGACACCACAACAATGATGACACCACAACAATGATAGCACCACAACAATGATGACACCACAACGATGACACCACAACAATGACAGCACCACTACAACGATGACACCACAACAATGATGACACCACAACAATGATGACACCACAACAATGATGACACCACCACAATGATGACACCACAACAATGATGACACCACAACAATGATGACATCACAACAATGATGACACCACAACAATGATGACACCACAACAATGATGAGATCACAACAATGATGACACCACAACAATGATGACACCACAACAATGATGGCACCACAGCAATGATGACACCACAACAACTATGACACCACAACAATGATGACATCACAACAATGATGACACCACAACAATGATGACACCACAACAATGATGACACCACAACAATGATGACACCACAACAATGATGACACCACAACAATGATGACATAACAACAATGATGACACCACAACAATGATGACACCACAACAATGATGGCACCACAGCAATGATGACACCACAACAATGATGACACCACAACAACTATGACACCACAACAATGATGACACCACAATAATGATGACATCACAACAATGATGACACCACAACAATGATAGCACCACAACAATGATGACATCACAACAAGATGGCACCACAACAACGATAGCACCACAACAATGATGACACCACAACAATGATGACATCACAACAATGATGGCACCACAACAATGATAGCACCACAACAATGATGACACCACAACAATGATGACACCACAACAACTATGACACCACAACAATGATGACACCACCACAATGATGGCACCACAACAATGATGACACCACAACAATGATGACATCACAACAACGATGGCATCACAACAATGATGACACCACCACAATGATGACACCACACCAACTATGACACCACAACAATGATGACACCACCACAATGATGGCACCACACCAAT